GAACAAGAGAGGGCATTTTTTACACAACAAAGTGGTCTTTTGGTGGAAACTCCCCCGTGCGTGTGCAGGTTCCAGTGTATTTGGCACAGGATACACTGAGCACGCAAGACCAATTTCTGATTGAATGCTATGGCCCTTGTGTGTACATTAGATGCATGCGCAAACCTGGTTGAGAAATTTACTGGTAAGGGTGCATATCACCTCATTGTGGACGAACAGTAGTGAACATACATGTACATGTGTATGCAGCCATTGCAAATGAAATTTAAACACAAGGCTATCACACAGTGAAATCATTTCACAAACAAGTGAAACATGTAGATTCCCTGTGCACAAGTAAAACCTAGGCCTGCATGTATGAGACTGATTTGAAGTAAATGCTTTTGAATTTTCTCAGCTACATTTAACTTTTATTGTTGTCACTTTCTGATTGCTGATATACATGTACTTGTAACATTTTGTCACTTGTGTCAGTTCACATGTATACATATACATGCACAAGTATGTGTTTCTCTACATTTGTCACTTGTGTCAGTTCACATGTATACATATGACATGCACAAGTATGTGTTTCTCTATATTTTGTCACTTGTGTCAGTTCACATGTATACATATACATGCACAAGTATGTGTTTCTCTACATTTTGTCACTTGTGTCAGTTCACACGTATACATATACATGCACAAGTATGTGTTTCTCTACNTACATTTGTACATGCACAAGTATGTGTTTCTCTACATTTGTCACTTGTGTCAGTTCACATACATGCACAAGTATGTGTTTCTCTACATTTTGTCTCATCTCATGCTAAAGTAGCTCACTGCATTAGTAGATTACATAGTGAAATATTTCAAATGTTGCCGCTAATACTCTCAAAAATTTGTTTTCAGTCATGGGCATTTGGATACCATCAGCAGTGCTATAAACATTTCTGCAATGTTTCCCTGATGGGCCATGTAGAAAGACATTCAGAACAAAAAAAATGACAGTGTGAGAGACAAGGTACATGTATGGTACCTATTTATTTTTCCATGGGGTCATTTCCGTGTTGGTTTATCCAGGGTTTATGTGAAGTTGAGATTTCAGTTTGTGTCATTGTTTCATAATAGTCAAAAATACTGTAATGTACAAGCCTCACTTTGCAAAATATAATTTTTCAATTCTTTTCTTATATAAGACCATTCATTGTTCACGTTTACATGAATGCAGCATCTTACAAAAATGTATGTTCTCTTCAATTATTTTTTGCAATACATGTAGATTTCAATTTAAAGACTGAAATTTCTGTTAACATGAACTCCAATGTTGCTCAAACGAATGAATACAAATGGTATAAAATTAAACATAAACAAGCTGAATTAAAAATAAGCCCAAAACATGAAGTCAATGATTATGTTTTACTAAAATCTGAAGGCTAAATTTGGTTATAAAACTTTGTTTTGTATGAGACAATGCAAGTTTCAGAATATAAAATTGCTGTTACTGTAATTTCCTGATACACCCTGTGTTTGAGATTAGAGATACAGTAATAAGAGATACAGTCTTCCATGCCCCCAAACATGCATGCCTTAAGCTTGCATATTCAGAGGTTAACACTCTGTTGCAAGTGGGTGTCAGTTCATGAAAACAGCAGTATCAACATTCTCGGTTTCACGAATTACCACCCAGTAGTACGTGCACACATCGCACACTGAAGTGAAACAGACTGATTTTTGCTTTTGCAAACTGGCACATAAGCTTATTAAGGTTATTCAGCATAGAGAAAAAATGATTTGAAAGGTTTGACGATCATTTAATCCATCCATATACTTGGTGCCTCATCCCAAAATTTAATTAAAATTTGTTTGAACTACTTAAACAAAGATTGGTCTTTGTTAGTGAAAATGAAAATGCATAGAGTGTGTACTGGAAGTGCTGCATGGCACTGGGTGCTACTTTATGAAAACGAAAATCACTCTGTTCTCTAAATATGCACACAACTGAGATCACCTCGCGCACAACTGAGTGCTACTTCCTGGTGTCGGTGATGAATTGTGGTCAGTGTGAATATATTTTTTCTTGCTTACTACAACTGTATTGTAAATACATCTTTGTGCCAGGATCTCGAATCCAAGTGAACTTGACGTGTGGAATAAATTTACAAATGAAAGAGTTCATTGAAAGTAGAGATTATCATTAAAGAAGTTCATTAATTCACACTTGTGTTTCAACAATCCTACCCTCTACATTAAGGTAAAAACGGCATTGATGAAAAATTCAGCAAGACTAAGCTTGGCTCGTAAAAAGTCTCTGAGTTTCAATGGGAAAGGAAATTTCCCATTAGCACCCACTTTATAACAATCTTTTTTTCACTTATGAAAAATTATAAGCCCGGAAACAGACGCCAACAATCCCTTTTGTAGCAAACACCAGCAATAAGCAATCTTCCCACAGAAAATGTATATGGTTTTCCAACCCTGGTCAACAGAGGGCGCCCCATTTATACTGATAACTGGAATGCAAATATTTAAAAAATTGGTGAACTTGGAACTGTGGATTTTGTGATCTATATGGTCTCAACTAACAAATGGAAGTAATTTCACTTAGATCCAAAAATTACCACGATACAGTACATGTACGGTATCACAAATTGGCATTTACTTCATGCAATGTGAGACCATCTCTTTGTTTTAAATACATGTACCTGTATATTACTGTGCAAGGAAGGGTATGACACAATTTGGCAGAGATGAGAATGGCAAAAGAAAGGGAAGAACTGTACACATACCGGTAATATATCCAATGAAAGTAAATCTCATCCAGTAACCAAACAGATGATTGCTTTCTACTCGCACTACTGTTGATGGTTGGAATTCAAGACCAGTTTCTTCTAGAACCTCTCTCTGTATGGCTTCCTGCAAAAAATACCAGTAACACATTCAAGACCACTGGCAAATCCAAAGGCCCTTCTTCTCCTCCAAAAAGAGCAAAACTGGTTTGAAGAATAATAAACAAAAAAGCAGTATATGGGAGACTTTACACTTCCCTTACACCAGACGCATGCACAGGTATAAATTTAGCCACACCCCTCAGAAAGGCCATGAAAGGTTACATGAAGAACTTACAAAATTCAACTAGTGTACCCCACTCTCTACACAATTGGTTCTAGATCAATCCTTGTTCAAGATACATGTACTTTAAGGGGAGTTAGGTTGGTGTAGTGTTTCTTTCCTCGCCTTCCACCTCCGGGGGCCCGAGTTCGAATCCAGCTCAGTCCACATGTGAATTGGGTTTCCACTGAGTCCATGCGTTTTCCCCGAAACATTTATCTGGGGTTTTCCTCCCACCTCTAAAACTTAAACATTCCCTCATTGTTTTCTTTACCCATTATCATCCTGTAATTGGCACTAAATGTGCTGTTGATCAGATGTAAATAAACAAAAATAAATAATTCAGCTATTCATTTGCTAACGGAATCTTCTTAAATGCAGACTTGACATAGACTTGTCATACTGCTACAGTACAAACTTTAGAACTATAGTCAAATTTTGTAGTACAAACAACAGTACATGTATGTCCATATTATGCATTATCCCTTCCCTTTGTGGCATGATTGAATGGGGGCAAATTACTGTACATGTACATTACCTGTAGTGTTTCATTAGGCTCTGAATGTCCTGCTGGTAGATACCACCGACCACGACAAGATTCCTTGGCTTCCTGAATTAAAACCACTCGGCACTTGTCGTCAAAAATCACAGCAGCTACTATGATGGATAGGTTGTCTCTCAGTACTAGAGGTCGCTGGTGGGTTTTAGCAGGAGCTTTGAAGAAAAAGTCATATTTTGGAACAGGCACAGGAGGAGGACAGCCTGCTAGCAGGTTGGCAAGACAACGCTCAATCTCAGACATGTTGTGCTGTGGAGGCAAAACACAAGCCAAATCATGCAGTATTTCATATACCAGTATATCACAACCAGTATTTAGTACTGTCATTTTGGTTACTTTCTTAGCCAGACAAACATACAGACAATAAAAAAAAGGGTTCCGACGAATATCGTTTTTGTAACAAGAAAAAGTAAAGTACTCTTTTACAATTAAGAACTACAAGCTCTGTACATGTATTTCTTGCGTTTGTTTTCATGTTCAGACACGATGAAATGGCCCAAATGAAAGTTAGCCCACATCACTCTTGATACCTAAAAACTGACGCCTTGAAATATTCCTCCCATGTTCCAAAACAGACATTTTCAGAGATGGAACATTGGCCTACCTGCCTTTGTAGATGCCCCTAACTCTGCTACGAGCATTTTACTCTGAAACTTATCCAGCTGTAATATTGAGACAGGTCAAAATGAATTCATATTTATCCCTTGTTCTTTTCAAGATAGTACACAGTCTTATAGGTTCCTTGGGAACAAACCACTCAGTTACTCCTGCTCCAAGGAAATCTTTCTCCAAGCACTAAAAGAAATAGGTGCAACTCATACTAGTTGTATGGTCTTCATACAATGCACCTCACACCTAAAGGAATACCTAAAGAAATTATCATGAACCGTAGCAGGTGGGAAACAACTTTCTAAGAATAGATACGTGAAACACAGTGTTGACATGAGATTGAGTGTCGGAAAGCTGCCGATAAATGAACAAGAAAAGAGGGAGCCGGGTGATGTCCAAAGGGTCTAGAGGACCAAGATACATGAACATGTACCAAGTGAAGCCTAAAGGGTCAAAACTAGAGCTGCGTGCATTTGTCTCATGGACAAAACACGGCACTTCTACACATTTGGAGGTTTTCAAACAAAGTCTTCCCTGTCCACATGCTGCAAAGTTTCAACCTGATCGGACATGTACTCCATGAGATATAGTGCTTTGAAAAGTGCACCTTTAATGTCACATGACTTGTCGCAAGATGACATCATCACATCAGGACAACTTTTGTCTTAAGCACTTTCCTAAGATATCTACAAGGTTTGAACCCAAACGGATATGTACTTCACGAGATATACATGTAGTGCTTTGAATAGTCTACCTTTAATGTCACGTGACTTGTCACATGATGAAGTCATCAACATGATGACGTCATCATCATATACGGTCACTGCTTGTCTAAAGCACTCCCCTTCTAATATATCTGCAAGGTTTCAACCCAATCTGACATATACAATACAAAATACAATACAAAACATTATTGTTATCATGGAATGAGCGCAGATTAGAGATTGCAAACATTTTTCCCTTTTGACATTCAATACAATGTGATCTGCTCTCAGCACCATGTACTTGGCAATTTTCCAACTCCTGACTATATACATGTATATGCCCAAAGCACTGTGCGCTGCCTATGTTACAAGCAGATATTGGGCATCCGCACAAATAGTAGCCAATGCACACTATGCGAATGGGATTTTCGATTTTGCAAATGTTGTAAGGGGTGTTTGTCGTGGGCACTTCATCTGTGTGAAGAAGTACACCACTTATGCACTTCATGCAGTTGACTTCAATGTTTTAGCTATCATCTAATGAACAATTCACACTTAAATCTGTTACGGTTGATTTTGAAGACTAAAAGGACTTTTTATTATAACTTCCAGTATTGGCCTCAAATTTCACAGGTGGGTTGGCTGGGTAAAGATAATCATCTACATCAATTTTCAGGTGATTCGGAAGAACTTTACCACAGACATCTATTCAAAATTCATTTTGCAGAACTTTTAACCTGTCACTAGATGGCACTCAACAACTATGTGATGTCATCAGTACATGTAGATGATTTGAAGAATACTATACCCCAACTGACTAACAATGCTGAAACAACTTGATACCTATTACCACTTTTAACAATACGTCCACTTCCGCTTTCAACCAGAAGGAAGGGTCATGTGATTTGACCCACACGAGATGAAGAACAAATTTTACTCTGCCACTTGCTGCAAACAGAATGTTGCGGGAGGTCACAGTTGATTTTATATGGCTCTTTACAACATTTACATTATATTTAAAATTTCATTAAACATCAAACATCGCTAAATTACCAAAATGGTGCCTCGAAAACATGTACAAAGTCAATGGGCTGAAATTTATTAAATTTTGAATTAAATAAAAATATCAATAATAAATTATCACTTGATGACATCATTGTGATGTTATTCCTCTAGGACCATCTATGCAGAGGGGTTCTTTACTGACGTAAGTTTGATGAAAGTTTCTAAAGGACCAAAGTCATGGGTAGAAAAAACGTTAACAAAACAAATGGACTTTTTGTCAGAAGAAGAAGAAAAAAAATAAAAACCAAAAAAGAATGTCTTTTTTTTCGCAAAATTGCAAAAAAGCCAAAAACAGAACAGAAGGAATGCCTTTTTCGCAAAGTTGCGAAAAAGCCAATCACTTGATGACATCATCACGATGTCATGATTAGAGGCACATCTTTGCTATAGGGTCTTTGCTTGAGGCAACTTTCATGAAGATCTGAAATTGCAAAGAGACATGACCTAGAGAAAAACTGTGTACAAAAGAAACCTGATATTCGGAGAACAAGGAAGAGAAGAAGAGAAAATTTTGACAAGAAAAATGGCTTCTATTCATTTTGCAAAAGACCCCCCCCAAAAAAACACAACAGATGGCTTTTTGCAAAATTGGGAAAGACACATGTGTTACATGTACATCTACAGTAAATGTTGGGCATTAGAGTTAAACTGCTTTCAGGCAAATGAGCACAGCCAGGAATATGAAAATGACAAAAAATGTGCATTCTTGAATTTGAAAGGTTTACGTCCTAACCGATTCGCATCATGGAATATCTACCTTTCAAGTTGTTTCTCCGATTTAAACCAGCGTTGGCTAGCTACAGTATGTAAATCTGTAGGAACATGTACATAAAAGCTTTACTCCTGGCCCAGGCCATAACTTGAGTAACTTTTCTGCTGGGGGCACTACTATTTTTCTTCATTCACCTGCACAGTGATTGCTTATGAAGTCACAAACCGAGACATGCAGTCAGCACCCAGTGTATTGAAGGCACACAAACTTCATTATCTCACAAGTTCAAATGGATTTAGAAGTGAAATATGCTACATTCAAGTTATGAAATTCTATCAAATGACTGTGTGGAGGTGGGGACTTTTTACACCCACAACAAGAAAGTCTGGTGACCAGCTTATTTGGGAACCATAGTTCACTGTCTCTTCAAATGAAGACCATGTGTACAACCTTGGAATTACATTCATACATGTACATATTCATCAAAGCCCCTGGTTACCACAGGAAATTATTTTGGTTGGAAAATACAGGGATTTGGCATATCATCTGGGAAGTACATGTACATGTAGGCCTACCAGTATCGTACAGTACATGTATGTACATGTAAATTTCTAAACGATTAATCTGTTATGTATATTTTACATCAATTTGTCTTCGTAAAAGTTATTTTTAAGGGTTATTTATAACAGAGAAAGAGTTAACACTGAGATTTCACCAAAAGTCGATTGGCTAAATGCAAATTTTAAAAAGGAAAACACAAGGGCAAATAATAGAAATCCTCTGTTACAATTATCAGTGACATTTAAATAAGTAAAATGAAGAAAAATGACAAAAGTAAAATGGAAGGAGTATATATTCAGGAAAAATGATGAAACACATTAAAAAAGCAGTGCAATGAAAGGAGTGTTTCACTTGAAATTAACATTTGTAATCACAACAGAAAATATTAGTGCATCACAGGACACCAAATCTCACAACGTCTAAAACAATAACTGTTAAGAGCATTTTTCACCATGTTTGACATTGCCATTTATAATTCGATGTCACAACTGTTATTTCTATGTCTATCAAGTCAATTTTAATTTGCACCTTTATAAGAATGCAGTTAACTTTACTTTTTTTTAAATGTCGAGTTATATCACTGTATATTCTGTCACATAAGGATCTGCAAGGTGTCCAGGAACTCCTGCGGAACCTACCTAATAACTTCATGTTGCAATTTATGCTGGACTTAAGAAACGAAACATTTTGTAATACAAATTACATGTATACACACTGCTACTGATATGTCTTGTGCATACTGTATATAGAACATTCATCATATTCAACATTCAATCTGTCACCTCATGAGATTGTTCTTACCACTCCCCTCAAAAACATTCATGTATTAACCTGTACATGTATAATGTTGATGATCACACCTGAAGTCACAGTGCTTTCAGCATTCGCAATGTTCCAATTCAACATTTTGCCTGAAAACTTCACACTATAATTACCTCTATACGTACTGTAAATCATCAGCACCTGGAACACTTCTCAATTCAGCCAATCACAGATGTACCGGTACATGTACCACATATTAAACACAACTCCTTTTGTACTGTACAGCAGTCCAATGGAATGAATTGGTCATACAGCACATCATTTCCAGATATTTTCCATACGTGTACATACATGTACATGTATGTGACCATGCGTGACCAACAGCACGTGTTTGAAGTACAGCATAAAAAAGATACATGGGAAATGGAAACACCAAGCTGCAAGATACTTCCTCCTAATTAAAAGGAAATGCACAAAAGGATACCAAATCCTGTCAGCTGTTGACATCCCGTTGCATAATATTTATTACCCAAGTTTCCTTTGAAAGAGGAAACACGAAACTGCCATAAAAAATAAACAATGAGCTCATTGCAGAGTTTAACTAGGTGTATTTATAATATTTGAAACAATTTAAACGAAGAATTAGTTACATTTATAATGTTTGTTGCAACAACTCCAAATGTTTTTTCCATGTATGCATATACATTCAATGGAGTAAACATAAATCCAAACACTTGATTTGTAATTAAACTCTGACGAGCAACTTGCCCAATTTAGGGGTGAGATCAGCTGGGCCTTAAGTTAACCAGAATCTGAATATATACGTGCATGTACTCTCCTACAATAATCCATGGGTCAATGATTGAAAGAAACCAGATCAACTAAACATTTTCCACAAAAAATGTTTTTGCTACTGACAGGTAATAATGGTCATTCTCAATGTACAGTATATATGCATCTTGAAAATCACCCCGGAAAAGAAGCACGTTGAAACATGTTGTACTAGTATGTTAGTGTAGATTTGGTTCCGGTTCTTCCAAATTCCAAAATACAGTACAGGTATGTAAACCCACAAATGAGTTGATGTCTAACGGCTTTGGACCTTAATAGAAGTGTAACCTGTCAGTACGAATCCCATGTATTTTTTTAAACCAAAATTAATTAAAGTTTCTAAAGAGCACAGAAAGCTCTTTCTAATGTTAACTTAAACAAAGTAACTGGAACATTGCTCAGGTCATACTGGTATTTATGTGGTGGAGAAATTGAACTTTTTCATCAGTCAGGTGCTTCTGAAATGTATGTTATTGTTGCAGAAGTCCGGTGGCTAATTCAAATTGATTTGGGCATAACAGAAAATGCATGTATACCAAGAGAATCCCACTACAATATGCCATGTGAGAGCCCCTGGATGTACATCCTTTCATACCGAGGTCTGTGTAGTCAAAAGCCTAACCCTAGAGTGTTATTGGTCATCAGGAGGGATCACAGAGTTGCTATAAATCCCAAATTTGGGACTGGTAGTTTCCAGTTAGGGGTATTCTTTCACAAAAAGCACCAAACTGTGGACCTTTTAAAGATAGAGGCAGGCGGCTACCTTCAGAGCTGAGTGCATAGTTTTACTACTGGGGTTAGCAGATGATTGTATCCTGTATCGGGGAACTAAATGCAAGAAATGATGTTTAAGATCTACAAATGACAAAAAACATACTCAGCAAATGGAAGTCATGTTGGCAGATGAAATTTAACATTGTAAACTGCTATACTATGCACATTACCCACAAGAAAAAAAGCCTATGTTATCAATGGAAACCACTCAAAAAGACAAACAGCCATGTAGCCACTTACATGTACCCGGGGAGTAGAAATGAATCATGAATTGAGTTGGGCTGATCATATAAGCACATCACTTCAAAAGCAAACAACATGCCTGGGTTACTCTGTAGAAATCTCTAGAGCTGCTCTCCAAAGGTGAAGGAGATTGCTGACAAAACCTTAGTTAGACCCAAGCTGGAATATTGTGCTACCGTAGTGTCTGGGACCCGTATCATCAAGATCACAAAAATGGACTGCAGGGCGGCAAGATTTGTATACAAAGATTTTAGACCAAGAAGCAGCATTTCCTAAACGATTCAATATCTAAAATATCTGGGGGAACGTAGAGCCATCAGTAGGCTCACTTTACTGTATAAATCCATCCATCCCAAAGTTACAGTGGATACTGATCATTATCGGGTTAGATCCTAAAGAGAGGGGATTGTAACACAGACATCCTCTGTTTCCTTTTCCCATCAATCTGCATAAAAGACAGTTACAAATTCTCCTTCCTACCCAAGACTCTTGTGGAATGGAACCATTTGCCGGCTGATATAAGGGAAGCTACAAAGATTTTGGGTCAGCGCGTACATGTACCTGCATTAAAGCGTAGCCTGGTCAACTCATACCCCAGTCAACTTGTACCCTCTAAGAAAATGTGTACTTGTGACCCAAACAAATTATGATTTTTCTCCCTTTTATACCCCAAATAGATTACGTTAATTTTCTTCCCCATTTTCCTGTTTTTCTCACTGTTTGGATGATGTTAGATGCTACCGGCATTTATTCATCTAAAATATCATTAAAATGGTGAAACTCGCAAGCATGGTCCCACAAACGAAAAGCTGGACAATTAATTTTATTTTTCTAATAGTTTAATACGGCTGTTTCACAACAGCGCGCCTCCAAGAGTTTGCGACGCCTTGGTCAATCACAATGGGCAAAATTTGTCGACCCAATGCGCGTTTGGAAATGGTCGACAAATTTCGCATGTTCTGATTGGCCAGCATGTTACAAACTCTTGGTGGCGCACTATTGTGAATCGCCCGTATTTTAACTTAACCTAACCCATTGTTTGGGTACATGTGGTTCCAGTCTATACTATTTTAATTTTTTCTTATTATTTCTACCCTCCTGAGGCTCCACCAGTCTCCATGTAAAATAAATCACACAATGACAAACCCTCAAAGAAACATGTTTTTCGAAAGCACCCATATTTTATTCCCAAAATCAATCTACAGGTTGTATAAGAGAAAATCTCTGAATGGGGTAAAGCCATCACTTCTTATCCGTCCTATGTGTCTTCAGCCAATCAGGTCTCACATGTCTTCTTCAAATGACTTGGCACTGAAGCTGTTAGTATCAAGTATCAAGCAACTGACTGACTAGCCTGTATAAGTGCTGCCACTATGATTTGGATGCTGCAGGCCGAAGTGCATGCATCATGCGAGATGGTTCTGCTTCATGAACCCACTGAAGCATTCATTCTTGATCATAGTTTGACTTCTTTCCCCACTAGGCAACGTATTCCAAACTCTAAAAAGAGGTGGTAGCAAGTTCATTTGCAAGTCCAAGCTATTTGCTCACCCCTCAGGCTCCCCCAAAGAAGCTAACCTCAAACACACGTTTGATCAGAGTGTATTCACTGATTTTATTGAACATCTGGAACATCTGTGTTCAGGGGTGCTGTAGCTAGACACCATTTATGTTCTACTTCCTAAACACGGTGGGAATTTTTCTACGAAAAAGCCAAACTTTATACATACATGTACGTCAATAAATGCGAGCATCAAAACCCATATTATGCTCCACATATTCTCTGCTGACTGGGTCTGAGGAGTACGAATTGACTTGGGTATGAGCCAACCTGGGTACAAGTTCACTCGGGTACAAGTTGCCAACTCGACTGTTTACCAACTCAACTTCTGACACTCAACCACTGAGACAACTCAACCGTTGAGACAACTGGAGACAAGTCGGCCATTGAGACAAGTCGTCTTTTGAGACAAGTTGCCCGTTGGGACACTGTCCGCTCAGCCCAGTCGTGTGCTGAGGCCACGGTGTGAAATACCATGCCTTAATAATCGAATGGAATTTCACGTAGTAGAAAGAAATTGCCTAAATTCTGAGGTATTATAAAAATGGTATGTAGTAAGTTAATCTTTGTGCAATCAATCGATCTTGCACCCACACTGACCCAGCCATGTATATGTATTACATTTTCCTCGTTCCAGATCACTTGAAATAAAAACCCACGTCCTTTGTGTTGTTCTTCAGTTCTACATTCTCAGACAGGTTCTGGTTAAAAGGTGAAATGTAAGCTTCTTGTTGAACAAAATTTGTTCTCGGAAATTTCTACAAAAGAAATTTTGGCCATATTTCTGATTTGTCAGAAATGAGAATGACTCAACAATTTTACCTACACAGGCGCATTCCTCAGAGTTTGGACTTTCATATGAGCACCCTGAAGCTTTCCAAAATTGTAAATTTTCCAATGTATAGCATATTGAAAAGCCCTGCCTATAGTATTACATGCTGGCCACGGGCGGCGCCTTTTTGAAAAACGAAAGCAGCGCTTCGTTCGTCAGAAGTCAGGGCACCCAAAAGGTGCCGTAGATGCATAATTCACGTTGTCGCAGTATTGCTTGGTAATAAGTTGCACGCACACTTTGCTAGTGTACAGTCCACCCACAGCACGTGTGTGGAGCATGATACAGTAACATGCATATTAATATTATCCAAATTCAATTTCACCGGTTCCTTGTTCGTTTGTCATGCAAGGTATAACGGGGAACCAGTTTTGTATGGTACAACGTACATGTATACCAGAGCGTCTGTCGGGTGCCTTGAAATCCGACACAAGAAGTGTTGCTTTTGTTTTTCAAAATGGCGCTGCCCATGGTCAGCATGTAATACTACAGGCCGGGTTTTTCAAGGTGTTGATGATTTTGGGAAGCTTTAGGGTGCTCATATGAAAGTCCAAACTCTGAGGAATGCACCAGTGTAAGTAAAGTTGTTGAGTAATTCTCATTTTAGAAGATATTCAAAGTTAGTGACAATCCTGCAGTTAGGATTTCAGGCATTTAAGACATGCCTTGGAGTAGGGCTGTGGTGGCGACAGATAAGAGACAGATTAAGAGAGCCACTACAGCCCTATTTGTGGGGCTAGAGTTGACCCATTTCAGCTAAAAATACCTTCAGGACAAAACAGTGATAGGCCCCCCACTTCCCCCACTATCATTAATAAGATAAATCATTTAAATGTTTGAGCATGGAGGTAGGAAGAGTCTAGGCACCACGCACCTACATCAATAGTACATGTACATGTAGTCCTGCAACTAAAAATATCCCGTATTTACCCCGTAGGCCTA